ACCCTGGAAAACCCACATGACAAGTTTGGTTGATGCACATGCACAATAGTACCATGCCAAAATTTTCAAAGTATATGAAGGATCATGCTATGGATTTTCCTAAATCTACATACCCTAAACTGAGCTCTTTCTTGTGAATCCATTACAGGTCAGTTTCTCCCACTTTGACATCCCACTGTATGCTTCTTCAGAGATCATTTCAAATAAAACTCCTGCAGGAAAATCTCTAATACAGTCTTTTCTAAGGAGTCAAACATAGAATGGTTTCATTGAAAGTAAAGAGCTATTGAGCTGGCAAAGGTGTATTTTCTCATTTCTATTAAAAAAATTGAAAGTAAAATTTCCTCACAGACTGGATCAAGGGTACTATAAAGGTTTTTCTTCAAGGGCTACACTGATGTCCACTTCAATTATCTTAAGAGATCTCAGCAGTCTGCACAGTCCATTGAAGATATCATATTACAAAAACCAGACAGGTAAGAGGTGATAGATTCAGCAAATCATCCAGGCAGGAGATTGTCACTAACATTTCAGGGGCCAAACGTATCTGTGAGGTTCCAAAGGGTCTTTTAGCATGTGTCCAGGTATGAGAAAGCATCTCTTCCATAAACAGTGAACTTATTGCATCTGGTCATGTCCACCCTCAAGAAATTCACTTAATTGACCACTTCAGTTTCTGGAAGCCTGTGATTTATGATTGTGAACACTGCTCCACCAGATTATCAGGCGATATAGAGCCACTATGTTTAAGGGGCCCAAAGAAAGCAAATGCTCTGAAACTATGATGTCCACAGTTTTACCATGGAGCAATATGATGAAACACACACACACACACACACAGACACACACACAGACACACACACAGACACACACACACACACACACACCCCAAAATATTTGACAAGCTTTCAGACAAAATCAGTGCAATCCAGTAATTTACTGAAGCAAGAGAAACATATGATCAATGAAAAATATAATCAATGTTTAAGTATTTTACTACGTTAAATGACATGTCACCATTAATCTCAGTCAAAATACTCTCTTTTAGGGCTAGTAGTATAGCTCAGCAGACTAAGCACCTGCTTAGGTAAGCTCAAGGGGCCAGGTTTGATCCCTGACACCAAATGCCATGTCAGCTCTGCCTCCTGGGTGTGCTGAGCCAGCGATGGAGTCTGGGCACAGTGGCATTACCCCAGCACTAGGGAAGCAGAAATCAGGAGGATCTCCTATTAGGAGTCCGAGCTGGGTAGTGAGACCCTGCAGGCACACACACACACACACACACACACACACTACTCTCTTTACTACAAGTATTTATCTTTTCTGCCATCTTCTTTAGTAGTTTTATAAGATTATGTTTTTGTGCTGTTTTTGGTATGGCAATGTTGTGAATCAATTAAAATATTCACCTTTTATGGTCATTTTGACCAGAAATCACAGAGAGCTAGATCTGCTGAAGAGGTGGATTAAGAACACATCTCCATGGTTTTATGGGCCTGCATTTTGGCTGCATTCAGCACATTTTTCTATCAAATCTTTGAAACACTTACCAAAAGGTGGTAAAAGTCTTCAGATAAATGTGTACCAGGCAAGGACAAATATTTTGAGGGGTATAAAGTGTGTCTTTTATTGCATTAATTTTTTAAACACTCACCATACATTCTAATAATACTCCACAAACAGGATTCAGAAATAAATTCTCTAATGCTGGGAGGCCAAGTAGAGTGAACATCTGCTCATGTGGCAGTGCTTTTGTTGAGTGGCTCCACCGGAAGTGAATTTCCAAGAAACTTAAATCAGAGACTAGAAGAATCCAAGCTCTCAGTTACTCTACTCAAAGTGTCTGAATGTCTATGACTTGGGCACAGCATTAAATGACTCAGGTCTCCACTGCCCCTCATGTCTGCATCCAGTTTCTTTTTTTAATTAACTTTATTGAAAATCAATAATTACATATCATATTAAAATTGTAGACAAATATTGAACTGTGAATGATACAAGATGTAGACAGAGTGATTTTTAGAGAAACATTTCTGAAATGAATACATCGCATGAGATTAATAATAGATTGCACATTGTAAATAAATTATTTATAAACAAATGAATATAACAATAAGAATTATCCAAAATGAAAACAAAGAAATTATTTACAGATCAGTCATATAATAGTTTACTCTGTGTCAAAATCAAGAAACTTATATTCATATAATTAGGATTCTCAAAGTAGAAAGGGGTGGGAAATAAATATTTAAAGATTTTAAATTTCTGAATTTAGTTGAACTTATAACACCAGGTTTCCAAGAAAAATGAACCTTTTACATAAGAGATTTGAATAAAATCATACCAATATGCACAAAAATGAAATTGTCCAAAACTTATTGTAAAGAAAAAAATCATTAAAGTATATATATATAAAAATATTAGCTATGGAAGAACAAAATTAAATAGCATCTTATTCCACATTAGAAAGAAAAAAAAGACCAAGTGTATAAGAAACTAGGCTAATTAAAGGACTGAAAGAAAGAAGAAAAAAAATCTGTCCTCTTTGAATTTTATACTTAGCAAACATAC